CTCAATTTTATGCTGCAGGACAATAGGGGGATTTAATAAAGTTACATCTATAGGCCGCAGACAGTTGGTACAACCTTTTGTAATCCTACAGAGATTTACACAACAGAAAATCGATTGGACCAAGGTGTTTGTTTGGCCTCTGTGTGACATGATGAACTGTTTTGTTGGTAAAAGGACTCTTCACGTAGCATTGAAACACTCACACAAATACTCCTTGCTGCTGTCATGTCTACGCTCTGACTTTATGGCATTGTGGAATATTTATTCTATAGCGTGTGCTAGAGTAAGCTAGCATTAGTGGGTATAAGGTCAAATGTCATGTGCATTGGTTATAATAAGAGTATTATGGCTGAGCTCTGTAGTAGATGCCCTGTGGAACAAAAGCATGGGAGAGCTATATGTGTGTCAGGACAGACGAGGCCGTGTGTCTGTGTGTGTGTGTGTGTGTGTTCACAGCCTCCAACACTGGCTGCTGCTGCAGCATTGTGGCTCTCCTCTGTTCATTTCAGCTGGGCTGTGTGACTGAAAGGCAGTGGATTACATACACTCAGGGCCAATGGGTCAGTGGATAAGAAGTCTTCTCTGTTACCACAAATCCAGAGATTAAACACAGCGTCAAGAGCTACTGCCACCCCGGGGGCAAACGGGTTTGAAAACACAACTCTGAGAGCTTTGGCTTAACCCTCCTGTCATTGTAGAGGCACGGCAAACATATGAGTGAAGTGATGTCTCTTTAAGTCCCAATACATTCAGGTATATTGGTTGTGTTGGTGACATGATGTCTTAATTGGAAAGTTAATCCTGTGCTGGGACAGCTGACTCTAAGTTAAAACAGTCTGTCACGAGCAGAGAGAAACACTGCAGCCTGTGAACCTACACACTAATGTTTGCATCCTTCATCTTTGCCAAGCAGAAGCGGCTTCCCGCCCGGGCAATTAGCTGTGTACATTATCATTGTGTGGCAGTGCTTTCCCTCAATGCCTTCTGGTTTCTCAATTGATGCTGTTTTAGTGATTTAAAATGTGCCGTTTCCATGCGAGACTAATCAGAGCATATTTAAAGTAAAGGTGATATTATGCATTTCAGATGCAGACCGGCATTTGTTTGTTTAGCAGGCACGAACATTTTTGGTGTACCTGTGCACATGTTTGCTTACATCTCAGCAGGCTTGTGGACATGATGAGCAGATGGAAAGAGAAAGGTACTGTAGGTCTGTATGGGATAGTGGCAGGATGGCTCTTGGTGACAGGCTTTTGTAGTGTCTTGTCTGCTCCAGTGATCCCAGGGAATCTGGGTCATTTCCAGCCTGTTCGCATCTAACTATTCCCCACTCCTTCCCTCCCTCTGCCCAGGGCAAGCTACGACCCAGCTACATGCAAGTGATGACACAAAGTAAATGTACTCATCTCTGATCGTAAACACCTCATTCATCGCTCCACCTTGCAGTGCTCTTTATGCTCTTGTTTGTCATGGAGCTGCCACCCACCTTGAGTAACATGCATATATCAAGCTGTTTCTCTTTGCCAGTGATATTCTCAAACTCTTTAATGTAGTGAATCTCTTGAAATTACGGCCACAGCAGCTTTATAATGAGCCACTGTGGATAAAGTGCTACAAAGCCTCCATTATTCTTCATTACAGTAGGTTACTGTTGTATTTTTTAGTGTGTGCAGAATGATAAAGGTTTCCAATCGGTTACTGTGGTTTTATTTTATTTCATAAAAATGTGCGGGTTGAAAAGATAACAGTCAACCCTGTTAAAAGTCTCAGTGGACAAGTTTTATTTGCAACTTTCCGAATTAAATTTGTAGTCATTCAATTTAGGTCACAGCTGAATTTTATTACTAGGTGCTACTCTAATTTGCTTGACTCATCCTATACCTCACCACATTGTTTTCAGTCTTCTCGAACCAAATCTCTCATTTGAGGATTTGAGTAAGAAGATGTGGAGAAGGTACAAAATAACAAGTTTTCACACTCATTTCAGTTTATAGGCCACAAAAAGCTCAATTTGATCTCAGGTGGTCCTGACATGTAAAACCATTGCATAATAACTGTTTTTGGAAAAAGCATCTTAAAAGCCCCCACCCCCTTTTCTTTTAGTGAAAAGAAGTAGGCTCACACTGCACTGTGAAAATGTTCACCTTTAATGAAGCATCCTTTCACAGACAGATGATGAACAGCTGAAAAACAAAACAAAACAGAAAAGTCAGTGCAGTTTGAACAATATGTCCACATTTAGTCTGTCTGCTGTCACTGCAAGTGCCGTTTACAGAAAAAAGCTACAACACTCTTATATGTAAAATATTTTGCAAATAATATCTCACTTAAACGTTTAAACAGCACATTCACATATAGAAATGCTTAAACCGATTCACACAATATGCAATAATGGTGGTATCGCCACAGCAAGAATATCAGTGCATGTTATTATAGAACAATTAATTTTTAGTAACTGCAATTATCACTCTTTACAAAACTATCCAATAGGTCAGACTGAATCGTTTGGCGGCCGGTTATAACCCGCGGGCCATAAGTCTGACACTTCTTCAGTCTGAAAGCGTGTATCTACAGCTGCCTTTGCTTGCACCGCATTAACAAGAGGGATTTGCCAACTCTAATATATAGAAAGCTGAAATAGCCTGAAGTTTGTGCGTTCGTGTGTGTGTGTAACTGAGGACTGAAGAGAGGCTTTGGGATTGGTGAAACAAACAGACAAAAGAAAGAAAACAGATGCGTTTGAATGACGTCCACTGTGTCCCTACGCTGCATGTGCGGAGATATTGGTGTCAGGAGGCCTATCCTTCTGACATGGTGTCATAGGCCTTTACGCATTGCTGTACACTTTGGGCGTCAATCGCTCAGCAGTCGATATTTAGGATTGCATTGCCAACCTGTGGCGGTGTTGGATAAGGTATAATCACAGGTTCACGAAGTAGCAGAAACAACTGGCTAAATAAAAGGAAATGTTACATTTGCGAGCGTTTACGCGAGATAAATATGCACAAACGCCTGTTTATTAGCGCAATAAGCCTGCTCATATAGTGAATGTCACTATGAAAAAAAATCAACTTTTTCTTAAAAAAAATTATATAAATCTTTAAAAACATGCCTATAAGGTAGACGTGTTGTTTACACAGGATGAGGTACAATAGTTATTTCCAGTTCTCCATTTAAGAGATCTAAATCAGGTTTATTTTTTATTGATGCACGCTTCCTGGAGAAAGCATTGCAGTCCTCGTAAATTTAGGGTGAGTCGGGAAGCCTGCAGGAATGAAATATTTACAGGCAGCTAAATATTTCAAGCCAGCACCTTGTCAGTCGCCCTCACAATTTATTTCCACTGCTTCTTCCGATTGCGGTCTTATTCTTTATTTACTGCCATTGGTGTTGTAGTATGGGTGAATGAGTGGCGACCCCGGTCAAATACAAGTTAAATAGTCCCAGTCTGTACATTGCTCCTCTTGCGTGCGCAATTTTTGAAAGATAACGTGGTGCATATTTTTGACAAACTAACTGATTGTGCTCATTATTATTATTATTTGATATAAAATGAAACAGCCAAAGACTGAACAGCTTCTTGTACAGAAGGCATTTCATAACCCCACATCAAGAGTCTATAATTCATGCAAAAACATCCCGAAGGGGATTTGGATCGAGCGTGTGGTGCGTGCGCGCACGTGCACGACAAAGAGAGGGAGAGAAAGAGAGAGGCGGGGGGGGGGGGGGGGGTGGTATCTGTGAAAATGATATCAGGCTTTTCCGTCAGAATGAACTTTACTACTGTATCCAGCCATGAAATAATCTGACCTGACACTTCAAACCATCTGCGCTATCTATCCGCCCTCTTATTTACTAAATCAGCCTGTGCACAAAACGGAATGTGTCTGATACTAAAACCGAGTCGCCTGGCGGGGCCATGATAATCCTATATACACAAATATTTCTCTCCCTGCTTTGTTTTACAGCTATCACGAGCTGGACGGACGCAAACGCGTGCGCGCTGATGGAGGCTACTGTAAATTAAAAAAGAGAGAGGAAAAAATAACAACAAAACCAACAACAGCAACACAAAACTGAATAAAGGTACCTAAAGGCTGTCATCACACTTACGACTGTTAAACAACAGCAAACATTTAGCCATTTGGAAGAAAAGAAAGAAAAGAAAAAAGGAGCATTTGTTCACGGGTTATATAAAAGAGCGCGCTTCACCGGCGACACCTGATAATATTTTATTATGATTATTGTTAATAAAGATTTTGCAGCTGTTCAAGGTTGGCTGCAGATTTGAGGTCCTGTTGAAATGCTTTAATAAATACCGACAATCACACTTTATTTATATTTGTGCACTTGCACTGTGGCATAATTTTATATTAGACGTGCGAAAGGACAAAAATATATATTTTAAAAGGCAAAACAAGCATTTAAAATACGGTATAGTAGCGCTCTATAAGATTCTTACAGGCGTACGATGGGCCGACTTATGACGGAGGGTACATCACAGAAAGCATGGCAGCCTAGCAGGCCATGCTAAACACAACTACAAATGTGATGTGTCGAATTTAGCTTCCACGCCGTCTAATATTATCTGTTATTATTTATTTATTTATTTGTTTATTTATTTATTACCTCAGGGCAGGGCAGGACGGGGCAGCCTATAGTCATCGGGGATGTGTCATTTTGCTGCGTAAAGCCTGTTTCATAAAGGGAGACTGAGCGTGTCTGTCTGCTCGGGCACTTCACTATATAGGACTCTTCCTTTAACACCGCCCGCCGCGCACAAAGGCGGAGGAGAGCACGGAGAGGCAGCTAAACGTTTGAAGACGCCAAGCAGAAAAGGTCAAAATGTTTATATTATTTTTGAAAAGGGTGGTGCTGAGTGCTCCTTTCCGCCTGATTGGCTGAACTTGACAGTGATTGACGTGCATCCATGGCAACCGGGCAGCCAATCTGCCAAGTCCAATAGGAAATCATCGGAGGGGGCTTGACTGTCTTTTTCTCTCCCCCCTCCTTAAAAATACATCTCAGCTCGGGCTTTAATTCTTTCGTACATTCAATCCCAGCATACCTTGAAAAATAGACTACACCGCCGCAGTGGCTTTAATTTTTCCCCTTGCACCTTCAGCCCTTTGCCTGCCAAGTTTGCCAAGCCCAGAGGATGCGGTAGCCGGCCCCCACGCAGCATTGTCCCTCCTCTGTGGCGTTTGTGGCGTGTGCGTTTTTTCACGGCTGGTCAGACGATTGGTTTGATAACTTTGGGATTGCCTTGTTTTCTGGGTTGTCTTGGATTGCCTCGGCGCACGGGAAGAAGAAGCAGAGGACTCGGCGCGGAGGAGAGAGAGAGAGAGAGAGAGAGAGAGGAGAAAGGAGGGGGAGAGGGAAACACGGGAGAAGCCTCCATGTTTCAGTTGCCCATCTTGAATTTCAGCCCCCAGCAGGTCGCCGGGGTCTGCGAGACTCTGGAGGAGAGCGGGGATGTCGAGCGCCTGGGCCGCTTCCTCTGGTCGCTGCCCGTCGCGCCAGCGGCCTGCGAGGTCCTCAACAAGAACGAGTCGGTGCTCAGGGCCCGGGCTGTCGTCGCGTTCCACACTGGCAATTTCCGTGAACTCTACCATATCCTGGAGAACCACAAGTTCACCAAAGAGTCGCATACGAAGCTGCAGGCGCTGTGGCTCGAAGCTCACTACCAGGAGGCTGAGAAGCTGCGGGGCCGCCCGCTGGGACCGGTGGACAAATACAGGGTGCGGAAGAAGTTTCCCCTGCCCAGAACCATCTGGGATGGAGAGCAGAAAACCCACTGCTTCAAGGAGAGAACCCGGCACTTGTTAAGAGAGTGGTATTTGCAGGATCCCTATCCAAATCCCAGCAAAAAGAGGGAGCTTGCACAGGCTACTGGACTTACACCCACACAAGTAGGAAACTGGTTCAAAAATCGCAGACAAAGAGACAGAGCGGCGGCCGCGAAGAACAGGTGAGCTCCGTGCATAACCGTCACCGCCACAATCCTAATTTACGCGAACGCGTCAGAAACGAAACATACCCACACTCCATTACTGCCCATCAAGTGATTTGCCCTGCTTTCAGTTTAGTATACGTGCCTCTTTGGAGGCAATCAGCTCTGACATCAAATCATATTAAAGTCAAAATTATACCGTAATCCCGATTTTCTTCTTCTTCTTTTGTAATAAACGCCGCTTTCAGTGTCTGTGTTGAATCGCAGAAAATGGGCAACCAGCACAACCAAAAAATGGCAACGGGTTTCTCCGTTTTCTCCTGTCAGCAATGAATTATTTGGACTCTGAATAAACATTTGTATTATTTAAGTGTAATATTCCGACTGAAATTGAGTCGACCCTGCAACTACATTAATGGTATTTTATTAACAGTGACTCCAGTATTCTCCTGGTACTATTATTAGCAGTAATAATAACACAAACAACATAAATCTAATTGCTTTTACATGCAGTTTAACTGATGTCACGTTGTGCTTTCAAAGAACTATTTTCACCGGCTCTATCTGCCTGTTAGATGGTCGGTCGACTTACATAAGGTTATGTTTCATAAAGCCTTGTGTAAGCTAGACATTTACTACTGAGAATGACATTTGAAATTGTCCCATATCCAACAGTTATCCAAATAATATATTTGCTGTCTCCCTGTGGTACGTGGTAAAAATGTATCAATTATAAATTCACTAAGAAAAAAGTCAGATTTCACAGATTCCATTTAATATTTTTGTTTTGTTTTGTTTAAGCAAAAGTAGACATTTTTCTTCTTCTGTATGTTTGTTTAGGATTTTTTATTTTTTTAATCTAATGAAAAAATCCATTTTGTAAATAATCGATGTAGACAATATATTATATATGTTCTGTATATATTATATACTTATAGACAATAATTTTGATGATCCTCGAAATAGACGGGCTTTTATTGTCATGTCTCTCCTTCCTCTGCTCAGGCTCCAGCAGCAGGTCCTGTCCGGCGGCTCGGTTCGCTCCCTGGCGGACGAGGATGGCACCGTGGACCGCCTGGGGAACTCCTCCAGTCCCGAGGCCAGTCTGTCCAGCAAAGCAGCCGCCTCGGCCATCTCTATCACCTCCAGCGACAGTGAATGTGACATCTGACGGGCAGATCGAGGGTGTTAATGAATTAAAAGGGGATACGAGTGAAAGACAATCCAATAAACAAGTCATAGTGCCTGCGTTGAGATAAAAAAAAAGAACATACACACACATACACATACATACACACACAAACTAATATTTGACGGCTGCCAAAACATAAAGGGATCTGTGATCTGCTGCGGACTGCCCGTCCTTATCCTTTTAGGCCTATACTTTTGTTTGCGTTTTACCCACGTGCGGATAACTGAACTTAACACTTGGACGAAACACATTTCACGGACTAATAAGCCAACGCTTCGAGATGAAACGTTAAAAAAAGAAGAAGAAAAAATAAGTAAAAGGAAAAAAAGGAAAAAGGGATGAAGACATCCACGCGCCTAACCTGCTGTTCTCTGTGGGTATTTCATGTTGAAAAGAACTGTGATATTTTTACTTTAAAGTTTTATAAATAATGTTTATTTGCCTATTTAAAACGATCTGCTCTGTCTCTTCGAATTTCATATTCATTTGCTTGGTGTTTTTAATACTTACCTTCTACACAGGTAAACCTGTTGAGCATGCGCGCTTTAGTGAACATGTGTTTCAGTAAAAAGAAAAAAAACCCGTAAAGATAACTTAATAAAAATAATTGTTGATTCAAGAGAGTTTAAAGTTCAGTCTTATTTCTTGGGTTGTCGTGTGGATAGAGTAAGAGGAGAAAAAACAAAGTGTGAATAAAGCTGTAAAAATATGAACATTCATATGCTGTTATATAATAATCTTGGATTTTTTCGCTAAGACAAACGTTCTAGTGATATTCGTTTTGATACCTCGATGCTCGACTCCTTGACACGTTTCAGAGTGAGGCCTAATTGGCCGACATGCTTTGCGTCCTGTAATGCAGGGTGACAGCGAGAGGTCACGGAAAGGCCGGCTCACTAACCCGGATGATCTGCGGGAGAGACCATGGAGATCAAAACACAGCACAGATTGTGGACCTGGGCTTTACGCTGCACAGACGGCGCAGGAACAGGCTTCTTAAATCGTGCAAGTGTCCATTTTCCCAAGACATCGAGAATCAGACCGTACATGAGGCAAAGCAGTCTAGTAATTAACATAAACAGACAGCGACGATGAATTTAACACGGTGATACACACGTGCATCATGTTATCTTGACATATATGTGTTTGGACAACAGCTATATAGTTTGTAAGTTAGATGTGTGTGTGTGCGCGCGCGCAACTGAATCCTAATTTCATGTTCGGCAACTCTTCAGCTACAAAAAAGCTTTTTAACTATTTTATTTTATTTTATTTTATTTTATTTTATTTTATTTTATTTTATTTTATTTTATTTTATTTGCATAGCCTCTGCTGCCTTTGTGTTGCCCTGCCTTTCCAGCTGATGGGGCAACCACCTGGTTTCCTCCTATTTGCCATTAATTAGGCTACTGTAACTTATGAAGCACACAAAAGCCTTTCAGCTTGAACAAAACAGAAGCCAAACGTGTATGGTGAATTGGAGAGAGCGAACAAGTGAAGGGTACTAAATGGGGGTTCAGGGTGCTTCTTTTGATTTATTTATTTTTTTGCTCCTTCTTTTTCAATCTAGGAGGACAAAATAGCTAAATATTTCCGTTTCTATTAAGAATAAGGACAAGGGGGGACTACATGAAAAAAGTCTTTCTCGCAGTCAATAAGGTTGTCAAACTGGTCAGCGGTAATCAGTGCTAATGATGGGTCTGGGGTTCCAGCGCAGACAAAAGGGGTCCTGTCGCTGTTTTGTGAGGAGAAGCGACCGCGGGTCGCTATCCAAAGAAAAGACTCCGCGAGGAGGGTCTCGGGCGCAGAATCACAACTTCTCCTGTGTGTGTGTGCGTGCGTGCGTGCTTGCGTGTGTGTGTGTGTGTGTGTGTGTGTGTGTGTGTCCTCGCTCTCTACGGGGTGAACTCATGGCTTGGCCTATTAATAGGATGTAATCACTATTTTATTGTCTTTATTTGTGACTAGCCCGCACATAGACGCAGTGCGGTGATTATTCTGCGATGAAGTTCTGAATTAAGCAATTTAACGAAGTTTTTTTTTTTTGCTAAATGAAGCAAAGTGACGTCTTTTAACTTAGAAAACTTGTATTTGTCAGAGAAGAATATTTACCGATGCTTCAGCTTTAAAATATTTTTTAACAAGTTAAGGATAAGTGGCGCGGAGACTCTTTGAGCTGTGGGTGTGATATGTGATGAAGGGCAGGCAGCAGCCTTGGTTATGTGTGTTTACTGTGATTGAATCTATCAGCGTCCTTCCGTGCAGACACTCTGGAGTGCAGCATTGTTTATCTATAAGCAGGACTACATATCAAAGCTGTGTGTGATTGAATTGGATCCCCATTATAGCCTACTTATTATAATTGTATGTATATACGTAAATGCGTCCTGGACGTTTCCTTTGGTTGATACCGTAAATTGAATTTCATTCGTGTTTTCCTTCAGGCATAAAACGCAAGATGCTCAACAGTCTCCTCTCACGGTGTACCAAACTGTGATGGATGAGGCAGGAACGCTTAACACCTGGGTAAAAGAACAAAAAACAAAAACGCACAAAAACGTGCGTTCCAGGTGCAGAAAATGTTTGTTTTGAGTTTTTCACCTTAAATTTGTGAAAGATCCAAATTTTGTCTCCTTCACTGTCCGAAAACCCATCATATTACGTTTTATTATGCATGCCCACATTTCCCCCCACTCAGATCAATACGAAATGCAAATTAATGTTTCCATCAGGTGATAAAATAAATATAATACCCACGAGAGCATCTGCACGGAGGGTCTTTTACCTGGAGTATCCCCTGAAGCTAGTGTTTGATTAAAGCCCGTTTAGCGTCTTAATAACACACAATAAAGTTAACGCGAGAGATCTGACTGCAGAGGTGATATTCCTGGTAGAGCTCTGTAGGCTTAGACAGAAAAAGAAACATCCTGATAGTTTGCTGGAGTACATCTGGACACCTGCTGCATCCAAGCAATACCCACAGGCTGTCTGTGAATGTAATCCTCGGAGTTTAGCACATTGTTCCGCTGATACATTAAAATATGTGCCATAAATTTGGAATATGCTGATTTTTACACTCTGAGGAGCTCTGGAGTTTCCAGCAATGGAAATAAAAGTAGACCACTTAAATCCTGCACAATTTTGAGGTAATCTTCCTTCTTCTCTGCTTCTTTTTGTACTTTTTATTCCGCTGCATTTGGCATCATCGTAGATTCTGATTATTATGCCATGAGGGAACTCGGCTAATAGGTACACCTGTACAATCTAATACAATACAGTTTGCATGATGCGAAATGACTGTTCTGCTCCTTGGTTTCATTTGCACCGCAGGCTTCGCCAAAGATGTATTAATTAACGTGTAGTTTTGTGTGACGCATACAGATCCTTTACTTAAGTAAAAGTACAGATAACAAACAACGAAATACTCCAGTACTTAAGAAAAAGTATTACCAGCAAAGTACCAGCTATTTAAAGCTTGAGAATGAAAAGTATGCAGTGTGCGGAAATATTTGCGTTTCGTTTTGCATTTTACCGCTGTGGGTGTATCATTTGATCATTTTGCAACAAAAAGTCAGCTTTCATCTGCTCAGAAAATTATTTCTGTTGTTTTTATTAGACTCTATTTTCCACTTGATCCAAAATTGGTTAAAGCATTTCACCCTTCCGTTAACCACAATCTTTCTTTTCCAGAATCACCAAATTTGGAGATAGGCGGTTTGCCTATCTCCAGTATCTTGACACACACACACACACACACACACACACACACACACACACACACACACACACACACACACACACACACACACAAATAGTAATTGTAACCCAGTGATATTACCAGTGTATATATCTGTGTAAAAGGGGTCACTATGCACGAAGCGTGCTGCAGGGTATTTATTAACTATTTCTAAATAATAATAATAATAATAATAATAATAATAATAATAATAATTTTGATTCACCGGTATTGGACTTGTGGCATAAACTGAATATTTTCCTTGTCAGCACATCTCCTGAATTGGTCGAGGTCACTCAGCAGGGGAAATGTGCCCTTTTCAGCGGGGCTTTTGTCCTCCGCCCTCTTCGTTTTTCTATCAAAAACCGCACCCCAGCAACTTAAAAAAATACAAAACAAAACCCCCCAAAACAAACAAACAAAAAATTCATCTTGCTTGTTGTTTACAAGGTTTCACTGCGCGATCTTTTAAAAAAATCGCCATCAAAAATAGTTTATTTGGTTGAGGAAAGCGGGCGTTTTTTTCTGTCGGCTCATTGTGCAAAAGGCCATGAATTTGTATCCAAATAATTCATTTAAAGCCGTTCCTTTCCCCAAGTTCCTTCCAACCTTGGGAATGTAACTACTTCCACTTATTTGTGTTTGCTTGTTAAGGTGTTTTTCTTCCCATCTGAGAGGTTTTCTTTTCAAACAATGGCAAACAATGTGTTTGCGCGCTGTGGAGATGTTTCACTCTGTGGGGGCTTCACAGCACAATCGTCTTCAAAGGGTACTGAAAATGGAAAAGTGCGTGCCAGTGACGCCCCCTGGCGGTGGTGTTTTACTACAGCAAAAAGGTGTCGCTGGTGGGGATGAAAATACTCAATCCAGTTAAGTTTTTGTGTTTTTTCCTTTCACAAAGGTGGTTAAACTTACAGGGTTTATTCCCCCCCCTTTTATTTCATCTCCTTACATAAAACGTAATAAATAAATAAATTCCCAAATATTGAAAATCATGCGGATTCACTACTTTAAAGCATATTCCAATTGCTTCAAGTAGTCCTGAATGAAAACAGGATCTGAAAACACAAATGGAAGTGCATACATGCTTTATATGCTGTCTGTATGATTATGTTTTGTTTTTTTCTAAACCATGTGCCCACGCAGGTATCACGGTATCTTTTCTTCACGCAATCTAAACGGAAGAAATGCCAGATCTTTTCATCCAGTCTAGTTTTCTTAATTTCAAATCGTTCCGAGCGATCACATTTGCAGCTGATAGCCAAATAATATTAAAGAGCATCACATTTGTTATTGCAGGTGTCAAGAGATCCATAATACTACTGAGCTGGGCACCAGTGTCTTCAGTAGAAGCTGTCCTGATTTGATTTTAAAGCCCGTTGTTGACCTAACGCATATTTATTTCTGCAAATGCCAAATTTAAAGTCAAATATACTCAATCAGATTTAAATGATAAGAGCTGATTTCCTGTGAATGGATGTGCTCAGCCTCCGAATCGAAAGGGAAGTGCTGCAGGAGACTTTCAGCACCACGGACAGAGACGAGGCTCTGCACCTGCAGC